TCTATACAATTTTACTTAACAAATCAGAAAGTAAACTAAACCAACGAGGAAAAACACTACTACTTAATATTGATAAACGAACAGACCGTTTGAGGAAACTTTAAAGCTGGATTTTTAGAGGGAATACTGGAGATGTCGGTGTATTTTGCAGAAGCTTCAAGCTCTTCTATTTATAGACAAAGTTTAGTGGTTCTGATGGAATAACGATCCAATGGTTACATACATGCGTGAACGTTTCCTTGTAAAATTAATGTTGGAAGAAAGTCCAACCCCATGTGTGAACCCATGGACTTTTTGTGTGGAAGTTTGCTTCACCAACCTAGCTAGTTGTGGGCTAGGATTACTTTGTTGAAATCATGCAAGATTGTATGTTGAGCCATTTAATGAACAAATAAAATCATGGACGGGTAGTAATGAGGCAAAGAAAAATGGTGCATGGGTGGTTGGATTTTTCACTATAAATACCCATGCATGCAAAGGCAATGGGCAAGCAAGAGTAGGAGAAAGCTAGAGAAATTGAGGGAGAGCTCTTGTGAGAGAAAAGAAAGAGAGAAATTATGAGAAATCCTTGTGTAGATTAAGAGAGAGTATTAGGGAGAATTTAGGAGCTTCTATAGATTGAAGTTAGGGGTTGAGAGCTTCTTAAGTGAGAGAATTTCCAAATTATTGTACTATTTTTTTTAATAGTGGATTTATTTCTCTCTTTCTCATGGACGTAGACTTGTTGAGAGGTGTACAAATCGAACCACGTTAAATTATTATCTCAATTTCTTTATTACTTCCGTTTGTGTGGGATTGTGGTGTTCGAAATTCCCAACAAGTGGTATCAGAGCTATTGGTAGAGCTCCTGGTGTTGTGGCGAAATGCAAACTAAAGCCATGAAGTATTTAATTGAGCTATTTGATGGCAAGAATGACTTTGCTCTATGGCAAAGCACTGTGAAGGATGTCCTTACTTGTCAAGGACTTGATGCAGCTTTAGAAGAGACCAAGCCAGCTAAGATGAAGAATAGTGAATGGAGTACTATCCAGAAGAAGGCAGCAAGTCAAATTCGGCTGGCGCTTGCACTGGAGGTGAAATACAACGTCCTTTCAGAAACTACTCCAATAGGCATGTGGAAGAAGCTTGAAGAGATACATGCTTCAAAATCTTTAACCAATCGGCTGTGTTTAAAGATGGAGCTATATCAATTGAAGATGGAAGAAGACACAAATATTCATAAGCACTTATCTAATTTCAACATGATGGTGACACAAGTAGTGAATGCCGAAGACATTCTAGAAGAAGAGGAGAAGGCCTTGCTTTTACTTGAATCCTTGCCAAAATCTTACAAGTCCCTAGTCTAGAGTATGCTAGTGGGTAAGACTACTTTGGTGATGAAAGATGTCACATCCATGTTGTTGGAGAATGATAAGTTTCTTGGGGAGGATGATGGTGCCAATCAAACTAATGCTTTGGTGATGGAGCACTCTCGGGGAAGATCCAATGGACGTGGAGGTGGAGGAAATCGAGAAAGGTCGAAATCTAGACCTAAGAAGGATTATGGTGAAGTGCAGTGTTTTTATTGTGGTGAGTTGGGTCACAAACAGTATAAATGCTCGAAGTTTAAGGAGGACTTTTCTAATATGAAAATATTGATGAAAAGTCAAGAAACTAAGGGTAAGGGGGAGGCTAATATTGTTGAAGAAAATGTAATTGAAGTATTAGTTTGTGAAGAGTGTGATCCTAAGGTGGAGCAAAACAATCAATGGTGGATTTTGGACTCTGCTACAACCATGCATGTGTGCAATAATCCTTCGAAATTTGTGAGTTTGGTTCGGGGGGAGCTTGGTAAAATAACAGTGGCTACTGGTGAGAAGGTGAATATTGAAGGCATAGGAGATGTTCGTCTCAAGGTTCACAATGGGAGAGCCAAGATTCTCAAGAATGTAAGATATGTGCCCAAGTGTTCAAGCAATATTATTGCTTTGAGTGAGTTGACAACACGAGGGTGCAAGTATGTTGGAAAGTGAGAATGGTGCAAGGTCTACAAAGGTGGGAGACTTGTTCTGCGTGGAAGGAAGAACAAGCACAACATCTACGTGCTTGAGCAACATCCTGAACAAAGGCTTAACAAGATCATGAGGAAGATGGTTTGGAAGCCTAAAAGGATCTTGGTAGATGGCAAGGAAATTAATAAGACTAAGAAGAAAGTGAGCTTCAATAATGAAGTGGTGTTTGATGATGGTTCGAGGAGGTGTGATTTTCCCTCAAATTATATTTTGGTTCAAAATTAATTTCCATAGTACATTTAGTGTAGGTTTGCCCTATCTTATACTAGGAGGAAACTTTCAAAAATAGGGCACCATGATAAAGTGCTCTTGAGCGGGGGGAGCTGGAGTCATGGTTGGTTTCTCCTCCCATAGGGTTGGAGGGGGAGATTGTTGGAAGAAAGTCCAACCCCATGTGTGAACCCATGGACTTTTTGTGTGGAAGTTTGCTTCACCAACCTAGCTAGTTGTGGG